AACGTGAGGTGTGTGTGTTTATCGAGATAGAGGCCAGCCGGAAAGAAAGACATGCCGACCTGCTCTTAGATTAATGTTTCCCCCTCTTCCTCCTCAACATCTCCAACAACACCCCCCTCCACCCTTTGCATGACCTTCCCTCCTTCAGCGAAGGGGGCAATTCATCTATTCGTTCACCTGTACTTCCATCCATCCTCCCATCTGGATGACGAATGCATGGGGGGGGATTGCCAAGATCCATGAACCTAAGCAGGGCCATTCTCTCCATCTCCCTCTCTTCACTCGGCATAAGGAGAGGTTGAAGGACCGATAGTGACGACTGCATATCTTTATAGCTAATATTGATGTGTGAAGACAGAGGACAAGGTCTCCCTGAAGAGAGCTTTACTCTGACATATGCTCCCTGATTCCCGACCTATCTCTCTAACTCTGCCTCAGCCCGTCTTTTCCCTCCATTGCATCTTCCCCTCCTCTCTCAATCTTTTCCAAATCATCATTTCCTCTTTCCAGCTCCCCAATCGCGTTCCCCACTTTTTTTCAGTCTCCAGCAATACGCACTTGGCTTTTAAATGTTTTTCATCCATTATTTTCTTTTCTTTATCAATCTCTCTTTCATCAAAGAAACGTCGATGCGTCAAGGAGAGGTGAGGGAGGCAGTAAAACCAGGTTTGAAGGTGAAAGACGGCAAAGAAGCAAACGTGAGCAGCAGAAGCGACGCCCAGCCCGTTCCTGAGGTGTAAATCTGGAAGCTAAACACCAGGTGTTGAGCCGCGGGCTACGTTCCCATTCACACCGACCGCGCCGCACACGCTGCTCAGCTTTACAACACCAGCAGCAGCAGATGTGGTGTTATGGTTAAAAAATATGGCTGTTTTCCTCCAGGTGCCACAAAAAAACATAACAATAAGCAAACACTGAAGGTCTTAACGGACTTAAAGAGCAAACCGTGCCAAACACCTTAAAAATTTAATTTCTCTCACATGTACTTGGCAGTACTATCAATCACCTGCACTAAAAGAAAGAAACTGGCCTGTTTAGTGACAGGAAAGCTGCTGCTGCGGGGGATCAGGGGCGCATTATATTTCTTGCTCAAGGATACATTAACAGGTATTGCCGGGTAGGGTACCGAGCCTCAATAAAAGCTGTCAGCGGATCCTTGGGTAGGAAAATTTAAAAAGAAATCACCCGGCACTTCTGGCCACTTTCAAGCACACTCAATCTGCAACAGCATTTAATAACTGACTTCTGAGCTCTCTCCATGGACTGCCCTCTATTTATGACTGCCACTGCTGCTGTAAATCTCTAAGTTGTCAAGATGTCGAACTGAAACCAAGAAAATCTCCCTTTTATTGTGCTGTTGCCTGAATTTAAGGTATTTTAGCCTGCATTAGGCTGTGGGAAACAGGTAGCCAATGAGAGGTAAATATATTATCTCTATAAACAGAGAAAAAAGGCTGTAGGGTGGGGGTGAGGGCATCAGTAGGTATGTTTCCATTACTGGGATAAACACATGTTAAAGCAACACTGTGTGATGCTGTTTTTTAGCCACTAGGGGCGCTTGACCTGAAAATTTGAATGCCTCTTAAAGCAACTGGAAACACTGGAAGCGCTTAAAAAGGAAATAGTTTCACTCTGTTTTTTTGAATCTGCTAACAAACCACCTTCAGCCAGCAGATTGACAAAATAAATATTAAACATTGAAACCTACATCAGGGAATGTAGTGACTATTTGTACAAAACTAAAATTCAACAATTAAAAAACTTAAGACTTAAAGGTGATCAAAGCAAAAGGTGAATTTAACTCAAAGAGTCACCTGATGCAGCGTGGATTCTGGCTTACGCCGTCCAAAAAGATAAAAAAAAGATCAAAATTCTGTTATTTTCTTGCTTTATTCTCAGTTCAGATAAAAACAGGTTACAGGCGTCACAGGTTTCTGTTACTGATCTCACTTTCTGCACCTCTTCTTTGACTGACTGACTGACTGAGGCTGAAACTGAGACTGGAAACTGGTAAAAACCACATGACCCCCCACGCACATAATGAGCCAACTAAAACCTGCCTATTTATACTGTGAAACACCCGCATCCCAAGCTAAATTTAATTACCTAATTAAGGTGAATAAGAACCAAAAACCTATTCTAAATAACAAACTAAATAATCTAAATTAAAACATTTAACTGAACATGTAATAGCTCCTATACCCCAGCCCCTAATTGTCCATTAAATCACAATTATATGTCCTAAGGGATGAAACACTTTGTGAATGTTTCAGATAGTAGAAGCTAGAAATGAAGGAACTGGAGAAAACGATCATCTGAGGAAAAAACCTCGTATGGGATGTACCACCAAGAGATAGCTGAAAGCATGATATTAAGAAATCCTGCTAATGCCTAGAGAGGGTCGACTGAAGGGCAGCACAGGAGCAGGCCTTGAGCACCGGAGCAATAGAAGCCCAGATCTACATCAGCAAGCAAGATCCCAGGAGCAGGTAAGTCAAAGAGGCCCCAGAAACAACCTGCCAGGATACTGGCAGGAGAAAACAATACATGGAGTGTCATAACCAAGGTGGTATAGTGTACAGAAGCATCTGTGCAGAATACAAACTGGAGAACTCCAGGTCAAAATGGGAGCCACCTCCCAAGGTGGCGGAGTTTGACAGAGCTATGATCCTGTGGGACTTCAAGATACAAACAGACTAAATGGTTGTGGCCAAACAACCGGACATTGTGATCGTTGAGAAGAGGCAGAGGATGGCTGTAGTGGTCGTCCCAAATGATAAAAACATCAGGAAAAAATGAACAGTCGCTCCAGCAGATACCTGGAGAAACATCAGAGATCTCAGCACAGAAAAGCGCAGTTCTAAGGACAGAGAAGATAATGAGAGGAACCATGAAGCTCCCAGGCCTCTGGTAGAGGACCCAAGCTGGGGATGAAGGGGCTTCTGAACCCGCCCACGAGGTTTATTCAGCATTGTTTAATTGAATTGAATATTTATTTACGTATGCTTTCATAGTAGCTTCATCTGGTCTGTTCCTGTTTGGCTGTGACTCCATCCTGGAGAGAAATATCAGCTGTGCTGCTGCCATCAACACCTTTGTTTCTAGATGTTGGAGCTTGGCCTGTTTTCCAGTGTAGTCCTGTTTCTCTGACTGTGACTAACTCTCTTTGAACTAGGGCTGCAACACCGAATCGATAAAAATCAACTTTTAAAAGTGTTGGCAACGAATTTCATCATCGATTAGTTGTGTCGCGCGATTAATGCGTCATCCGCCGCCGTCGTCATCACTGCCACTTGACTGAAACGCGGGAAGAAGAAAAAATACGGCAGAGCGAGCCACCGCTCTATTGACCGATACCGCAAACGCAAGCTGCGTCTCAATTCGCAGACAGCCTGCGCTTTGTAAAGGGAAAAAACTCGTAACGTGCAACTTTTGTAAAAACAAATGAACATGGCGCGGAAGCACCACTGTTATGATGCAGCACCTGAAAAGGAAACAGGTTGGAGCCTTCGATGGCAGTGAAGAGAGCTGATCAGCAGGGTGAGCGGCCATGTTTGTTTGGTTTTAAAGTGGGGAAACGTAACGTTAGTTTCTCAGGTAGCTCATCTGATGCTTTCCTTACCGTGTTAGTAGGTTACAGACAGTGATAAGGTTGGCTACTTATTTTACTTTTCATTTCATTTGAATTAGCTTAAGCAGCGTTTATATTTTCTTTATTAATAAATTAACTTGCAAATTATGAGGGCAAGGCTTTTAAAGTTTAAATCTTCCGGCAAAGATAAAGTAAAGAAGATCCTGCAATTTATGGAAGTAAAGCAGAATAAAATCCAGCAAGATCAGTAATATGTCAATTAATTATCTGCCACATTCCCATGTAAATATCTGTCTTTGGAGGATGTGTTTTTTAGCACCCCTAGTTCTCTCATTTTTATTCCAAATACAATTTATAATTTGAATCACAGGGCTATTTTTATCTCTATGGTTCAGTATTTTCTCAAGTAGCAACTTTAACTGCTATACTTTCCTGTCTTAAAAGGCAGAACTCTTCTAGTCTAAAAAACCTCATTTGTTGAAATGGGGGGGCCTATTGTTTGAACCCCTTAGGGGCTTTGAACACAAAAATCTCTTTTTTTGCGCTTTATGAAACAAAGTAGCCTATATTTTGTGGATGTACAGCTACATTTCTCATGTAAGTTTGCGTAGTTTTAACACAAACATTTATTTTTCATATTGCACCAGGACAGTTAATGAGCAACCTGTACTTGTGTGCTTGTTTGTTCTGTCTAAAATGTTTATTTTGGAATAAAGAGGTTAATATAAAAAATATTTTTTGTGCCATTCATCGATTAATCGAAAAAATAATCGGCTGATTCATTGATTTTTAAAATAATCGTTAGTTGCAGCCCTACCTTGAACCCCAGTGGGCCTCAGCAGATGGCCGCTCACACTGAGCCTGGTTCTGCTGGAGGTTTCCTCCTGTTCAAAGGGAGTTTTTCCTCTCCACTGTCGCTACAAGCATGCTTAGTGTGAGGGATTGCTGAAGAGTCAATGAGTCGATGCAATCAGCTGGTTTTCCTTACATAGAAAACTTTGAATCAATCTGACTGGATGATCTGGTGAACTGGAAAGTGACCTGAGATGATGTGTTGTGAATTGGAGCTATAGAAATAAACTGAATAGAATATAACTTTGAAAAGTCAGTAAAGATCTCATTGGTCAGATAAGGAAACGGCCATGTTGAACTGAAAATGCATAATCCTGCAGGACAATATAAAATCAGCGCGCTTGGTGTTTGCAAAAAGGCATACAATAGGACAGCCATGTTCTCTCATCTACTACAGGCTTGTTCTCAGGGTTTCAATTAGGGCCTCCTGATTTCCCTCGGGGCCGCTCCCTTTCATGGAGAGGCCTCATTAACAGAAGAAACACAAATGCATGCACACTCAGCAGGGCTGCATGCAGTAGTGCTCTAGCTCATAAACAGACCCCTCAGAGCTTACCCCCGTCTTCTCATCAAAGATCTTGATCCCTCCAAAGGAAACAGTCAGAAACACCTTCTGCTTGTGTTCTCCTTTAGACCGTGCTGCAGCAGCTGTCCCCTGCAGATCAGAGACACACACAGTCCAAAACAATCGCATTAGGAACAGAAATGAAATACATGAAGAGAGTAAAGGGAATGCCCATAAGTAGAATATTGCTCTCATGGTGGATTACCCCTCAGTTTTAGCAACAGAACCACACATGGTGGCATCACTTCAGCATAAGACAATCTATAACAGACATTTTCTTTTCATGTGTAGCAGAAGATTATGTAACGTCTGGAAATGATGAAAGATGTGTCATTTTTGCACATTCCGTACCTTTTCCACCCAGCAGGTAGTGTCAAGCTGCTGTCAGACTATTTCTTATCTAGCCATATATGTTGGCGTATCTGAAAAGCATTTCACAGAGGTCTACATATGAAGAAATGAAGCACATTCTCCAAAACATTAGAGTCACATCCAATCGTCGCGCAGTGTGTTGGTTGGGATGGGTTTCTATTTTGTGAGTGTGTATAAAATAGATGGAAAGCAAAGCAAAGTCTGCTGCTGTTTGAGGAAAAAGAAGTTATTTTTTTAGTAAGTTATAATTTTTAAGTCATATTTTTTTCTCTCTTTCTTAATGATCATCTCACCATTTGGGAGGGAAGTTTGTTGCTGTATACACAGATACCATGGCGATATGCTTGAAAGATGTATCACCTTATAAACCTTTAATATCAGTCGATGTTGATAAATATTGATTAGTGTTTTTTATCTATTTTGAATTAAAAAATGTAATCCTAACCCGTTTAAAGCCTCGCTATTGCTTAGTTTGTCCATTAGAGGCTGAATCCTTTCCTCTGCCTTTATGCTCCAGGTTACTGGCTGGTTCTGGATCAGAGTTCAGTGGATTGGTTATAGTTTAAATGTGGTCTATTTTCCATTAGCCTTTATTATACATAATAGAACAAAAAACACTAATAAATAATTATTGATACTGCCTGATATGAAAGACATTGTGTTTATATCTCAGCCATATTGCAAAGGCCTAAATAGTGGAGGGCATTTATTGTGTCATTTATTGTTATTGTGTTTTTAGTAGTGATACAAATCTTGAATCATTGTCTTAATGATAAATTAGAATCAATGATGATCAAGAACTTTGGTGAATTGTCAGAAATTTTCATTTCATTCTTTGTCTTCTTTCTGTTGGGACATCGGAAAATTGGAAGAATTTGATTAAATGTGACTTCTACGAGATATTTTCAGTGATGAAACTCATCATCTTTAAGTAACTGATGTCCTGAAGAAACCAATTTTAAGTGAGTTATTTGTGGGTCTATGACAAGTGTAAGATGTCATAACCATGCAGTTGCGTAAGAAGGACTGATTAAGCCAAATCTGACTTTAAACTTTCCCTACAACCGTTTATCTCAGACCTGCCTGGTGTGTTCATTGTTCTTCATGATGCTCTCTTAGAGCAGGAGCGTTGATTACACAAAATGGATTCTATTTATCATTATCAGTCATTTACATCAACATTAGATCATTCAGACATTCTACCTGAGTTTCCTGCACTGAAAGTAAAGGGTCTGAATTATTTGCACGCCCCACTCTTCCGTTTTTTATTTGTTAAAGAAGATTAAAATTTTGTTCCACTTCATGATTGTGTCTCACAGTGATCATTTTATACAGTGGTAGCAATTAAAATTTCCCCACTTTCCTTGATGTGCCCTTGTCTGGTCCTTGGCTGGTTATTGGCTGGTTCCCTATAATTCCTTTTTAAACATCATCTTTGTACTAAAATATTCTTCCTGTCATGATTTGTGAACAATAAGATCTAAAGAGAAGCATCATCTCCTGTCAGAGCCTGTAATTCAGTGAAAGGGTGGAATCAGAGTAAAAACACTGTAATTTCGTACGTTTTGGACGTTTTTTTCGTCGTATGAGCATGTGAATATAAATTACAATTAGCCCTGACCCTAACCCTAAGATATAAAACAGCAAGCAACGTAGTTAGAGACATGAATAAGTGATTATTGCACTGTTTTTCCCAGTTTTACGTCCGTCCGAGGATCTGCTTTTTTTTTCTGTCTGCCAGCGCATGCCCACTGATCTGGTTTTTTGAGGAAAAACGTCCAAAACGTACGAAATAGTGTGCATAACTTTTCATACGATTTCATATGAACTGATAATGAGAATATGTTGCTCCGGTGGCCGGAAGTTGGAGGGGAATACGCTGGGAGTTGCAGGGAAGTGTGCTGCCATTCAGCTGGTGTTTGACTGGGAAGGGCAGTTTTGAATGGATGCTACTGTTTCTTAATACTTGAAGTCTGAAATGTGGAAAAAGGTTGAAAAGTTGAAGGGGGCCAAATACTTTCACACAGCACCGTATGTATTGCCTGTAAATGGTAAAATGGTAAATGACTGTACCGTACTTAGAGCTTTATTAACTATGAGGACCCCAAAGCCCTTTACACTGCATTCAGTCATTCACCAATTCACTGCATATTTTACACTGATGGAGGTAACCTACATGGAGGCCACTGCTGCCCAGAGGCAGAAGGGAGGCTGCCATGCAGTCAGCGCCGTCTGACCACCAACAGCACGCCAGGATGGTGAAGTGTTTTGCCCAAGGACATAATGAGTGAGACGGACAGAGCGAGGCTTCAAACCAGCAGCCTCTTAAAGGATGAGACCCTAACCACCTAAACTACAGTTACCCAGATGGTAAAGACAGTTTCTGTCTCTGATTTCAGTATTGTCATAAAGTGGCAGGCCTATTTCATTCACTAATTTCTAAATAAAAAAAAAAACATCCATCTTTAACACCTTCCACCCTCTGCAGCAGACTGGAGAGGAGCTGAGCAGCTCCTTTAGTCAAAGACTTTTACACCCTGTTAGTAAAAAGCAGCGCTACTGCAGGTCATTTATCCTGCTGCAACCAGACTCTACAATGAGACGCTACAACAGCAATAATGGCTACAATGGAGAATGTGCAGTTACTATTTATTAGCCTATGCAATAATTATATACAAATATATACATCCATCTATAGAAATACCCATGTAAACACCCTGTGCAATAACCCTGTATAATGATCCTACTATGAAAATAAAAAGTTGTCATATATGGACTAGGGATGGAACGGTTTATGAAAACCGTCCGAACCGTTCGGTTCGACTGTCTCGGTTCGGTTCGCGTGTGTTGCGTTCGGTTCATGCGCTGCTCCTTTTTCTCATAGGCGAAGCGTTTACACTCCAGAGCAGAAGGTGGCGGTACTGCGACCAAAGCCAACCACCGGTAGTAAACAAGAAGAAGAAGAAGCAAAGCAGCGTAGCCGGGTGTAGCAGAAAAAAATCAGTTGTTGTGGAGAATTGTGTGGGTATGGCGAGTGGGAAAGAACAGGAGTTGGAAGACGCGCCAGCAGCACTTTATAGGTCTGCTGTATGGGACCACTTTGCATTTAGAGTGACCTACGATGACGGCGGAAAGAAAGCTGTGGATAAAAGTGCAACAGTGTGCAAGCATTGTGCAGCACGTTTTGTTTATGCTAACAGCAACATCACCAACATGTCATGCTAACCCCGAAATCCCTCATACTCCGTCAGCGCTCCGCCCCGCTGCGCTCCAGACCGGCTGCTCAAAGCAAAGCCTACAGCCTCCACTGTGGCTCCCGTCCGCTCCGCTCTGAGTTCCTTGGAGATGGTAGATGATCCAGGGTTTCCACGGATCATTAAAAATAATTACAATTCATTAATTTGTTTTGATTTTTTCATTAATTTCATAAAAAAAAAAAAATTCATAAATTTTTATAATTTTTATAAATTTTGTTATTTTTCGGGGTAACAATAAAAAACATACCGAACCGAATCGAAAACCGTGAACCGAACCGTGGATTTTGTGAACCGTTCCACCCCTACTGTATATACTGTATATATCCTATGTAATATTTTTAATGCCACAATTACCCATGACCCTATATACATATATATGGTAAACACACAGAACATTTAAAATCTAATATATCTGACAAAATTGTTTTTACAAACACTTTTTTTTTTTCAAAAAGCATTCTAAATCACATTTAATGAATTTTAATGCCATATAAGGCCTTAAATAAAAAATACAAATGAAATGACTTTTAATGACCTGCAGAAACCCTGTATTTGAGCTGATGTAACAAGTACATTTCTCCGCTGTGAGATCAATAAAGTCAATCAATCAAAAAGAAGGGAAAAAAAAGAAAAACTTTAAAACTTAAGATGTTTCAAGTTCTGTCTGTTTAGTAACCTTTAACCTACTGAAGGGGAATTTTGGATGCAACATTTTCTGCAGTTGAACAATCATATAATGAGGGTCTGACTTCAAGAGATCTCTGATTGTGAACAGTTTGTGACTTTGGAACAAACATATTAAGTCGAAAAATGTTTCTCTAAGATTACAACACTTTAAGAGGTTTTAGATTTTATTATACTTACAGGTAATACACATGGTGGACATGAAGGCTAGATAGAAATGACATTTTCACACTATTTGTTTAAGAGCAACAACCTTAATCATTTGGGTTTCTGCTCAGAAAGGAAACAGGCATACTTTTTCATGCTTCAGGATTTTTATTTTTAAATACATAAAACGTATGTTTCCTACTTTAATGTTAATATTTATCCTCAGTATTAACATTTTCTGATGTGCCACAGATGCCACATAAACTGCATTATCATAGATTTAGATTTCTGAAGAAAAAAAAAGCTGGGATTAACCAATTGTTCAAAGCGTCCCTCAGAAGATGAAATTAAAAAGTAATTACTGGAAGCCTTAATCTATAGACAACCCACATCTTCCAAAACAGTCAGTCAGTAGGACGGTGAATATATTCAGCATAACTGCTGAAGGGTCCAATATTAGATTGGACATTACTTTCATGTTGATTTGCATTTGCTAATTACAAAAAGAGGAGAAGAAAAGAGAAGAAGAAGAAGAATTAGAGGAGTTGGGCAAGAGGCAGGAGGAGTGATGTGAAATAGGTGAAGACATGAGAGATGATGGATTTCCTGTCGGAATAAGTGATAAGGATGGATGCTGTTTGATCAATGGGTCGTCTGTCTGCCTCTCATCCTTATAGCTCTCCACTGGGTGGATTTTTTCCTCACGCAAACTAAACACAAATGTAATTTTCTCTATTTAATTTTCAGCGGCAGCAGGAGTTAATAATGAATGAAGGGATTCTCGCCTTATGCCTTTAATATAAATTCACAAGTGAAATAAAATGAATTCAAGGATTTCCTTAAATTTTTCACTGTTTTTTTTTAAATGCATTTCAAATTCAGGTAATTAAATTAATTTAAAAAAATGTTTATTTATGGATTGCATTGAAAGGACCGACCTTCTGTGATCTTTTTCCTCCTTCGCTTGTCTTCTGTCCATCATCCAAACGATCACCCCCCCTCTATGACTTCTTTTCTTTGTTAACTGCCCCATCTGTCTCCCTCTCCCTCTCTAATTGTTCCTGTCCTGCCAAATGAGACATTCACCCTTATCCCCTTCTCATCCATATGGCTAACCTCCTCACTTCCTCTTGCACATATCATCATCATCATGCCTATAAATTAAAGCGCACACTTTCCCTCCGCCATCTTTGTACTTGAACTTTTCTCCCCAGGCAATTTGCATACTGAAAAACAGCAGGCAAACTATATGCATGAATATCTATACTAAGGCACATTTAGGCTGTGATGTATTAAGCATGCATATTTAAATGTTGAGAACTAGAATATGCATGAGGGTGAACTCTTTATGGACCAGAAAAATTGAAAAGGCATTGATGCTTGTAGGTTTTGGGAGTGCAGGAACTTCATTTGGCTCTGGGCGAATTGTGCGGCTTTCTTTCTCCAGATTTCTCCTCTTTTTGTATTTATCATGCAAATCTGAAGTTACATGATTGCTTCTGTGTGAATTCAATATTTGCGTTGATGAAGGGAAAACAAACTCCCGTTCTTACCTTGAGCTTCATCATTGAGTCCTGGCAGAGCTTGTCTCCACGGGCGGCAGTGACCTCGTCCAGGCCGATGAGTTTGGCCTTGTAGCGGACGCCATCGCCCTTAAAACGCCTGATGAGAGCTGCCTCGCTGCGATCCTGCCCTGCAGACACAAACCACAAACACACACACGCTGCAGTCAACAGTGCAGCTTCCAGTCAAGGACCTCAATCTACCTCTGACCGGCACTATTGCCTCAGGAACACCAATCAAATGGACTACACAAGGCTTAACCCCTTGAGCCCGATGGGCCCGGTACCAGGCCCAGCTGATGTTTATCTATTTATAGAAATGGCCAAACACGTGGTCACATGGTGTTTCATCCACACGCCTTTCAAATGGGGCTTTAAAATTTCTGAAACATGAAACCAAACTTTTTTTTTTTTATACTTTTTGTTTTATAGCTGTGTAAACAAATAAAATGAGATTTAAAATTCCACCTGACATGTGTGACTGCGGGAGCAATGCAACAACAGGTATTAATTTTTAGCCCCACCCCCTAATGGCTGCCATCAGTGGAAACTAGAGGCTCAGACCTTTCCAAGGAGGGGTCAGAGGTCATTGTGTGACCATTTCAGGTGATGTAACCGCCATGCGTTACATAAGCTGCTCTGTTATTCTTATTTTCTATTCAGTTTGGTGATATTATTGGTAAATTTCAATGATATAACGGCTACATCTTAGGAACAAAGGCTTTGTCTCATGCAGAAGGTCTCCATTAATGTAAGTCAGCATATTTGGCCGCTTTTGGCACTGTGCCAGAATCAGATTTCTACCTAGCTCACTGCCCACTAAAACCTTTGTGGAACAAACATGCTTCAACTTATTCAGTCCAAATTTGCTTGAGTTATAGTCAAGATGTGGATCTATAAAGTCTGAGGATTCATCCAGAGTTTCAAATGGGCTTTCATGGTGTTTTACGGTAACCTGACTCCGCCAGATGGATTTGCTCCGTATATCCATCTGGAAACCTTCCGTTGAAGTAACTTTGGGAGGCGGCGAAAATACTGGTTAGCTGATTGGCCTATGTTGCAGTGTTAATTTTGTTGACGAAGACTATGACGAAAAATGCTCGTCAACGAACCTTTTTCACGGACTTAAACTGAATAAAAACTAAATAAAAGGTGAGATATGATGACTAAGACTATTACGAAAATAACTGACACTTTAGTCAACGAATAAAAACGAGACTAAACTATTAGGGAGGGACGAACGGTGATCCTATCAGAATTACTTTTTTTGTGGGACAAGTTGGGAAGAAATCCAATCAAAAGTTAGTTGCCAACCGCCATAGAAAGAAATCCAGGTGGCGGTAATGCGCCATAAAGCTGTGCGAAGAAGGAGAAGAAGAAGAGAACGCGTATGGTTGAAACATAGAAGCAGCATTTTCGTAGCAGTAGTAGCCTTTCAAAAATCAAATGAATAATAGACATGTTACAACAGCTAGGGTGAAAAAGAAGACTTGATATCTGGGCACACTTCACATATGACACTAAGGACAACAAGACAGCCTGCAAACCGTGTGGAGCCAAAATATCCGGAAAAAACACCACCAGCTTGAAACGGCATTTGCAGACGACTCATCCAGAGATACATGCGAAGGTAAGCATACACGCTAAGCATACAAGGTTATTTTTTATTTGATTAACCGCCGTGTTTGCGCTAAACTTAGAATGAGATAGACGTTTTTTGAGTGGAGAATGCACTTTTTTAGGGAGCAAAGCCACAGTTAATCTTTTTGAAATTCAAAATAAAATACATGTTTTGTATCTGTTCAATCTGTGTCTAAATCTAGATAGATACTTTATTGATTCCCAAGGGGAAATTCAAGTCTAATTCAAATCTAGACTGAGACTAAACTAAGACTAAAAGACTTAAAACTAGACTAAGACTAAAACTCTTTTGACATTTAGTCGACAAAAACTAAAAGATTTCAGATGACTAAAATATGACTAAAAGTAAAATGGTGTGTTATTCAAAAGACTAAGACTAAATCAGAATTTGCTGTCAAAATTAACACTGCTATGTTGGTGATAGACGGGCCAAATAAACCAATCAGATCAACGAAGCATATGACGTACTAACAGAGCGACGACGAAGAGGAGCCAATTGATAGATCAAACTCTTGCCGAAACCAGTCGGGAGAAGAGCAAAAACATCTTTTCCTCTGAGAAAAGCCTCCAGAGCAGTGTTTTGCTCTTCTTTCAGTGAAGAAATACTCTGTAATTCCGATAAAACTTGCTCGATAGCCACGCTAACGCTAGTTTCATCGGCTGAAGCCGCCATGTTCTTTAGACTGAACTGTCGCGCTTCTCGTTGCGTCACACCTCAACCCGCCTCAAAGTAGAGATGTCCCGATCCAGGTTTTTGCACTTCCGATCCGATACCGATATTGTTTTTGGACTTCCGATCCGATACCGATACTGGCCGATACCAGCCTATCTGAGCATGTATTTAAGTTTAAGTTAAAGTATTTAGCCTTAGTTGTAAGACTCAGGTTGAAAAGGGTTTTAGTACTCTTGATAACATCTAGCCAGCTAAATTAGGTGAGATTGAATAAAACACAATGCTTGGTAACAACAAACTTACCTGTTTATTAAGAGATAAACACAAACTGGACAAAATTACGAATAGCAATCTGAAATTGCACTGTGAGCAGTAAAACCGTAAACAGTTAAAGGTGCAAGTATTACTGTAAGTTTTAATAAAAATGCAAAACAGGGGAACACGAGGCTAGTTTTATGGTGTTTATGTTGGAAAAAAATTTGGCAAGCTAAATTTTTTTTTCTTTTTTTTCTTTGTTTAATCACCTATAAATCAGGTGACATCTAAAAAATGCTTCCACCTGAAAAATATTCCTCAATGCCTTTCTGTCACACAAATACAAACAGTTGTATTTCCAATTTATAGTTTGGGAGCTGAACTTGCTTTAATTCACATATTTAATTTAAGGTGGAATTGGCTCCTTAGACAATCTGGATTTAAGGGATGAAAATTGTAACTCTTTGGGAAAGAAACAACAGCATTAAAAGTAGGGATGCACGATATTGGGATTTTGGCCGATATCTGATATGCCGATATTTTAAAACTCATGTAGCCGATAACCGATATCGATACCGATGTTAAAGCTGGACAAAAATAAGTAGTCATTGAAAATAGCAGTTTTGTTATCCATTTCTGACACTTTGAAAAATAATATACTCAAATATATTTTCATATGCTGATATCAAATAGATTTTTAAAAACGCGGTATCGATCTATTTTACTTTCAAAATCTCTTAAAATTTTTCATCGTTCTGTTACAAACTCTCGTGATATTTTGCAAATTCTTGTCAGATTTTGTTAGTAAAATAGATCAATGCCGCGTCAATATATCAACATATAAAAATATGGCAAAATTTCGTGAATTTTCGGGGCATTTCGTAGCATAACGATGACATATAGCAATATTTCATTAGTAAAAGAGATTGATATGGTGTTTTTAAATGGCAATATATCAGCATATGAAGATATTGGGATATTTTAATGTATCAATATTTTTCCCCTCGTCTTTAGAAGTTTTTAAGTCTGTAAAAAAGAAGTTTTTGAGGAAGAAGAAGTAGTATTTTTTTATTTTGAGACTTTAGAAACTCAGAAGCTGATCAAATATCGGGTTAAATATCGGTGGGGTGGCCGATGTCGGATATTTAGTTTTAAGGCCGATACCGATAGGGGCCGATTATATCGTGCATCCCTAATTAAAATCCAAAGTAAAGGATATTATAATTTTTTGTTTCATGAGTAACTTTCATGCAAAGAGTAACTTGTTGGATTGTGTTGAAAAATCTGGAAATACTGAAAGCAAAGGAGCCAGTAATATTCAGAAGAGGAGCTGAAACTCAAAATAATGGTGTGACATTTTCTTCTTATCTCTCCTGTCTTCCACAGTCCCTCCTCTCTCCTCTCCTTCCATTGTGCTCTAGATTGTCGACACAGTAAGAATGCATTAGTGCGTGTCAGCTGTGGCGTGAATGTGTTGACCTTGCTCTTGTCCTGGAAGTCTCTGTGTTATCTCTCATGTTCTTTTTGCACATACACAATATAAGACATGGGAAGAGCAGCTACTCATAAGGCTAAACTCTCTTTCTTTGTGTCACGCTGTCACTATTCTTCTTCTGACCGTTTTTCTGCCTCCAAGCGTCCGCGGGTGAACAGTTCATCACTGCTTCTTGCGTGCAGGGGAGCACAAGCGAGTGTCGGTTTGACTCCTAGCCCTGAGTTCATGTGCAGGTACAAGAGTGAGAGGACGGCAGCGAGAGGCATAATGATAATGCAGCAAATTCAGATAATATATTGAGGCATTAGTTCTATACTCAGTATCAGTGTGACTCATGGAAGGTCAGACTCAGAGTGATGGAGAGATCCCACTCCTCCTTTTCTCACTCCTATACACTGTTTCCATTCACGCAAAGTCCCAAAAGCACCGCAGTGTAGGAGAAATGACTCCTTTTATCCAAGGGGGGGAAGGCGTCATGTTTCGCAGCACTACTTAATCATAGTTACCCGACGCTAATCTCTTCTGTCTGCATTACCTGCTCACTTATGCATTTTTGAATCTGCATCAACATCGCATGCTGCTAATCATATTTAAAGCAATTTTTGGAGTGTGGATATAACTTTTTATCAGTTTCTTCAAGCTTGAAGAATGGCTGATAAATTAGCTGGTTAAAAGCACTAGCTTATTTTGGCTTGAGGAGCCTTTGCTTGCAGATTGGCTGATCCTAGACTCATACTGCCAATGTTTTTCACGTCTTTAAATACACCTTAAATAACTGCTGTAAGCGCACAATGCTAATAGCTCCTTTAGGTATGGAGGTTGTTTCTGGACTCTAGAATAGCTATGTTTATTGTATTAATGGTCCAATCCAATGAGAAGTAATTTAAAGGCCATTTTAGCTGTTTATTCATTTTATTATGACTGATAACTGGATTTTACTTGGTCCCGCCCATTTTGCTATTAAAGCTTCTAGTTAGAGTGTCTCAGGTTATCCTGAGCTATCTCTATAGTTCTGCTGCTATAGGCTTAGACTGCTGGAGGACATAGGGACCCCTTTTTCATCATTC